AATTTACTCTGTTATTTTTTTTTTCTCATCAATTATAGTGGATTTTGATTTCTTCTACTCCAACTGTTAACTAATTTACATGCAAAATCTTCAGTGTAATATTATTCTTATCTTAAGTGCTTAAGATAAGCTTCGTGAATTATCATTTTTTCAATTTATTTTGACTTAATTTTTAGAATAAATTAACAACGGGAAGTCAACCTTTCTAAGTCTTGACCATTTCCCTTCAAACCTTAGCCTCTACTGTCATACCTGTAAGCACGAGAAATTATTCTGTGCGGACATCAGATTGTTCAGAGGCAAATCAAAACGTGTCATGTCATCTAGTACAAAGCGATACACAGCACCGGTACACAACAAAAAAGTGATGTGACTTGTCCCGATTCACCTCCGAACGGCATCTAGTGTCCACACAAAATAATTTTTTCGTAGGCACACAGATATCTCTTAAACCAGTAGGGACCACTATGAAAAAAAACCCATAAAACTGATGGAATTTTCTTTTTTAAAATGATTGAAAAGCCACATGAGTAACTCTCAGTCATCACCACTGTCGATCAACCGAAATCTGTTGTCTCGGACCTCAAAATTTGTCGTGTACTCATGGGGGGTTTACCCCCTGACCGAAAATTTTCCCCATACAACTTCCCAACAATTTGTACCCTAGCACCCTGTTACTGCGTAGCCGAGCACCCTGACACTGTGTTCCCAAGCTCCTAAGCACTGAACGACATCGAGCAAAGCACCACAACGATCAAGTATGATGTTGCAGTGTGTCAAGACATAGAATGAGCACCGCAACGCTAAGTATTTGAGCACTGCACATGATTGAACAAAGAGTGGGCGCCTCAACACCCCAAACTGGCGCCGTAGTGCTGTGAGGTAGATAGGACGATTTTCTTTCTCATTTTCTGAAGTGTTGTGTTCGTTGGAGTCTATTTACTTAGCTTTCTCTTGTATGTTCAGTTAGGACAAGTCTGAAAACAATGCATGTGAGAAGATAAGCAATGAGATAGTGATAGAGAAGAGAGAGATCTGTACTTATTTCTTTCTATTTTTATAGTGGATTTTTTGGTGTGGTGACTCTTTAGTTTTTTTTCCTGTTTTAAGTTTTTCCATGTTAAATACTCGTGTCCTTTTCTTTTCCATTGCTTTTTTACTTTCTTGCTTGTTTCATCAATTTTCATTGTGCTGTTTACTCCTCCCCATCTTCCCCCAACATAAATGACCTGACTTGCCACCTCTATCCAAAAAAGTATGAATCAATTTACCCGTTTTATAAAAGAGACAAATGAAAGTCTTGAATTCTAACCTATTTATTAAACAAGTCGGAGTAGGCACAAATCCACTTTTGATCTCAAAATTTCTCAATTAATATTTTTCTTCCTTAAATCTCTTGCTCGTGGGTATGCTCTACTTATTTTTTAATCAAATAACATAAACTCTAATATATTATTTTTAAAAAAAATTAAACCAAATAAACAGGTGTGCTTCGGGTCATTCAGATTGTTAGGGAGTCGGATTTGAGTTGATTGTATTCGGTTAGGGTTAGTTTTGCGTCAACCTACGTCGAACCCATGAACCTATTTTAATACCCTAAGTATTGGAA